TTTTCTTAACATCCTGTCCTTCATTTCCCTACTAGTACTTTTTTTGCTTTACCTCCACTTCCCTTCTTTTCCTTCCCTTTTCTTCCATTCCCTTACTTAGCTTTCCTTTCCATTTCTTTGCTTTCCTCTCCTGACCTGACCTGTTCTTTTCTTTTTTCCTTTCCCTTTTCCTTTTTTCCCTCTTTCCCTTTTTTCATTTTTTCCTCTTCCTCTTCCTCTTCCTTCCCTTTCCTTTCCTTCCCTTTCCTTTCCATCCCTTTCCTTTCCTTTCCTTTCCTTTCCTTTCCTTTCCTTTTTGTCAGTTCCTTTTCTTACTATCCTCTCCATAACCTTCCTATCCTTCCTTCTTTAATGAAAATCCACGACCTACTATCGATGACTTACTGTGTTTGTTCTTGCATTTTACCGAGTTGTTCTAACTTAGCTTTGTGCTCAACACCTACTCGCTTCACCATGTCATTCAGAATATCCATAAACTGAGAAAACTAGAAGAAAAAAWATATATATCATAAAATAACTGTTTTAAATCTCGCGTTCTGATTGGTTGGGAGCGCGTGCTTTATGAGAACCCACAGCACGCTCGCGTACTTTCAGTTTCGTCATTCCTGTAATTTGTATTTTATAAAAGAACTAACAAACTTGCTTGCTGTGCTGTGTGGAGTTATAAAGCACTTAGGGATTGGCAGATCAGATCACTACGCGTCGTGCTTCTCCTAACCTTCTCTCGTGTTCTGCCAACCCCCGCGTGCTTTATAACTGTACACAGCACGCGATCGTGTTTTCTATTTCTTCATTAATGTCTAGGACAACTAGCTGCCCATTTGATGAAGGGTGTCTTTTTAATAGAGATATCAATAAATTAAGCAAAGAGGCACTGGACAAACCTGCTTAAGATTAAGAGAAGGCTCGATCGATAAAGGAAATAAGAATGGAATGGCTTTCATCGCCAGGTAGTCTTTATCCATGCCTAGTTTCTTGTGAATCATCGTTTGTTTGTAGATTCCTGGGGGGAAAATGGAATAAAAATCTATTAGTTTTGGTATGCTTTGTATATGATATCTTTGTTTACGCTAACGCTTGGCAATATACTTATACGACCCTTATTTTTATTATATTATCATCATTACCACCACCATCATCACTAACATGGCTATCAAAATGCTCCTCATTGTTATCATGATCATGCATCATCACCACCATCAACATCATTACCATCAGCATCACCACCAACATCATCACCACCATCATCATCACCATTGCCATCATCAACATCACCACCATCATCACCACCATCATCAACATCAACATCACCATCATCATTGCCATCATCAACATCACCACCATCATCACCACCACCATCATCATCACCATCATCATTGCCATCATCAACATCACCACCATCATCACCACCATCATCAACATCACCATCATCATCATCACCATCATCATCACCACATCAGTCATCATCATCATCAACGCCATCACCATCATCATCACCATCATCATTACCATCACCATCATCATCACCATCACCATCATCACCATCATCATCATCACCATCATCATCAAATGATTAATCCTGTTAATAGATTGAAGTCAGTATTACCCAGCATGGCCATCAGAGTAGGCGCCTCTCTTGAAGGGATCTGAGCCAAGAACGGCAGGATGTCTTCCATCACAACATACTTGTCCAGGTGTTCCAAGATTTTACCAATACACACTAAGGAGTTCACTCTGACCTACATCATTTAAAAATAATCAATAGACAACAAGAGGAATCAGCATTAGGACGGGCATACTTGAGTGGGGGAGGGGTGGGCTTTGTAATGATAGTACTTACAGCAAAAGAATAGGTTTGAAGGAATGGTAGAGAGGAACCTTGCAGTGGGTGGGGAGGAGTATAAATAAGTGGGGGGAGGGAAGGGGTAGTGTTGATGGTTCTTACAGCAAAAGAAGAGATCTGAAGGCATGGCCAGGGAATCCTGTGGGTGGGTGGGTAGGGGGCATAATTTACTGGGGGGTGGGGTAGTGTTGATGCTTCTTACTGCAAGAGAAGAGGTCTGAAGGCAAAGAGTCTTGATCCTTGGAATTACAGAGTTCTTCATTAAAGTGTAATCCACCAAAGGAGCGAAGTTGGGTACAATATTCAGAACCATCTCCTACATTAAGAGAAACAAATGGCCATGCGTAAGATAGATTTCTTTCTTTTATTTGTTTTCATCTCCAACATTGTTCCATTCCTTGACATTGCCTGGGGGGGGGGGGGGGGGGGGGGGGGTGAGGGGGTAGAAAAACCCATTTTCAGAACATTGGCTCAAACTAATCACATGACTACTTAGTTTAAGTTTCTACAGCTTGATGATGGGAGGGGGGTGGGCCCTCAACCCCCGCCCCCAACTATACCACTGTGATAATACTTTCTTGGAAAAAATTACTTTTAAAAATATACTTAATTTCTTGCCGCTCATTTTTTCTCTATTTTACTACAGGTATTTTTTCTGTTCATGTGTTACTGGAACTTGTTGACTGTCTACCCAAAAAAGTTTCCTGCGGGAAATAAGCGCCAAACCCCCGCCTTGTTTCTGCCAAGGACTAACTCATCATCGATATACCATTTTCAAGTTCCAAACTACCCCATTGTGTTCCTTGATCACAGACTCATTTACTCAGGGTTAGCTTCGTATCAGTGTCTAAATATTCACAAATACCAACGGTAAAGTAAAGAATGCACAACTTCAACAATACAAACACTTTGAAACTTGATGGACCTTGACTGGAATACGTGAATATTCTGCACAAAGTTGAGGCTAAGCCTGAGCAACAGATAATTCAAAACTGGAGTCTTCATAATCATATTCACAGTTCTGCCAACCTGAATATCAGTGGAAGGTGCTTCTAGTGCTCTGAAGACCATTGGTAACACATCATCTCTGATTGAATCACTTGGTGTTTTGCTCAGAAGAAGTTCAAGTTTTTTAAGAAAAATTATTGTAACCTGGAAAAGGATATTGAGTAATTCAGATTTTAAAAATGTAAGAGAGTGAGGTAAGAAAAAAGATAGGAATATCATCACTATTATTACTAATGTATCGAATGTATTACAATCATCATCATGGATCATGACCACCATCATTATCATTATCATCATCATGTATCATCATCTTGTATCATCATCAAGTATCATCATCATGTATCATCATCATGTATCATCATGTATCATCTTCATCATGCATCTTCATCATGCATCTTCATCATGCATCTTCATCATTTATCATCATCATCATGTAACATCATCACGTATCATCATCCTAT